CGTCGAGCAGGTCGTTCGCGAGGCCGAGCTCCTCGAGTTTTCGCTGGAGTTTGGCGTGGAAGACGCGGCGGCTGTCCCGCCAGGCCACGACATCGCGCACCGCGCCGGTGGCCTTGAGCCGGACGTGGGTGTCGTGCAGCTCGGCGAAGCGAACGGCGACGTCGCGGTAGGTCGGCAGCAGCCGCAGGGCCTCGTCCCGGGCGTGCTTCGGGCTCAGCCCCGCGATCTCGGGGTGGGTGCGGTGGATGAGCTCGTGCAGGTCCTTATCGCGGAACTTGATCTCGGCGATCCCCGCGGACTCCAGGATGTTCCCGTGCGAGCTCCAATCGCAGTACATCTCGACCGCGCCGTTGTGGTTGATGACGGGGTCGACGACGACCCAGGCCCCCCCGCGCAGCTCCCCCTCAGGGGGGATATAGATGAAGACCGGCGCCGTGTACACCCGGAGGTTGTCCACGATCGCCGCGCCGAACTTGAGGACCTGGTCGAACATGTCCCGCATCCCGCCGGAGAAGCCGCGCCAGTTCGCCAGGATGAAGCAGGGCAGGCGCTCGTGGTGGAAGTCCGCGAGGGCGTCGGCCGTCTTGCGGGCGGAGTCGGGGAACCAAACCTGCCCGGCCTGCGCGACGAAGGACGACGACGACGTCGCGTCGGCGGGGTCGGCGGGGTTGAAGCGCTTCGTCGTGCGCGTCTCGACGAGGATGACGCCGCAGGGGAGGCCGCCGAGGGTGGCGCGGCCGGTGACCACCGACTTCGCCCAGCCCGCGAGCGACTCCGACCAGGAGCCGCGGTCGAAGAGCCCGGGGCGCTCCCCCAGGCCCGTCACCAGCAGCCGCGGGTCGTACGGGACGTCCGGCGCGGGGCGGAAGGTGACGTCGCGGTCGACGGGGTCCGCCGCGAGGGCGGTCAGGCGGCGCGGGGCGCAGCGCCGCGGGTGGGCCACCGCCGGGACGTAATCCAGCCACCGAAGCAGCGCCTTGGCCGAGTCGAAGTCGTTCTTGGTGTTCCAATGCGCCACCCCGTTCGGCCCCATCACCTGCCGGCCCCCCAGCTGGCTGTTGTCCGCGTAGACCTCCTTCCCCAGCA